AATCAATCGTTGTCGTATCTGTTGCTGTTGTCGTCGTTGTTGATGATGATGATGATGATGATGATGATGATGTTAATGTTGATGTTGAAGATGATGATGATGATGCCATCGTTGGTCTTGCCGTTGTTGTTGTTGTCATCATCGAAGTTGATGATAAACCGTGTGACGTGATAGGTAAACGATCTTTATTTTTATTTTGAACTGCCGTTTTTTGTGTATATGAATTCATTATATTTTGTTTGTTTAATGGTAATGGTGGTGGCATTAAAACTGTGTGCGGTGGTCTTTGAAGAGCTTGAGGTAGATGAGGGACTTGCTTATAATTTTGTCGATTTGGAGGACGATGCACTTTATTGTTCATCGGTTTGTAAAAATTGTTCAAATCAAAATTAATTCCCATTTGCGACATGTCAATTAATTTTAAAAATGGTTCCAATATAGAAGAAGTGTCCAATCGTGATTCCGCTTCTTTAGATTGTTGCGTTGGTTGATACCGTGGTGAAGATGAGGGTAATAATATAGCTGATTCCGTTTGGGGACCAGTAGTAGTCGCAATTTCAGAATATGGTAAAATCGGATCCGGAGTTCTTTTTTTCGGATCCATCCAGTAATAGACTCTATCTAGAACTGGAGGAACGTAATCGTAAGTCGGATCATTTTTGAGTGGGTCTCCTCTACCCAATGGTGTCCATTCATCATAATCTATTTTAGGTACGAAACTATTAAAATTTTCTTGTACCGATGAATTTGAATAAATATTTTTAGTTTTTTCATTATCATCTCTAAAAGATTTTGCACTTGATATTCGGTTGCATAATATTAATAATAATAATAATACACTTAAAAAGTTGATATTTGCCATGAGTGAAGTTTTTTTCTTCTGAAAAAAAAAAATTTTTTTTTTCATTAATTTTATTAATTTTTAATTTAAATTATTTAAGAGATTTTTTTTTTCTATTTCTTTTTTTTTACTATTAAACTTGTAATAATTCATGTCTATTACGTAATAATTTAATCGAAATGTAATTAATTTAATTATATTACAATAATTTTATAATATGAACGAGGGTAAAATAAATTGTAATTGTTTTTTTTTAAAATTAATTCATCTATTTGGAATTTTCTAGAAAAACATGTGTTTGTTGTAGTACCTTTTCTATTTATAATTTACAAAATATGTACAAAAGTCTATAATTTATAGGAATAATAAAAATTAAACAATGAATAATTTATTAACTCGCCAAACAAATAAGAATTGTTTAATTTAGATACCTAAAATCAAAGGCAAAATTATGTTTATAGAAAAAAAAAAAAAAAAAAAGTTTGAAGCGGTCAACTTTTAATAGTTTACCGTTATAGAGTTATGTGGAAACAAGTACTACCTGTGAGACCCGATTGCATGCAGACATTTCACACTTTGCGACTCAAATAATTTATTATGTCCTCCGTATTCGCTTTGGGGTCATCCTATGACAAGA